GACTCACGTGTTCCCACAAGACTACAGGGCGGCACGGTAAAAGACGAGAGGAGATCGCGCGGAAACCCAATAGTGAGAGTTTATAACAGAAGTGGCACAGGGATGAGAGTTGAAAATATGTTGAATCAAACGTGGCGGGACCCGTCGCATCAAATGACATCCGCCTGTCAATTTTACGGCAGAATGTATCATCTGCATTGTGCGTTGCGTGTTCGCCGTCTGGCTGGCAGGAATAAAGTCGCAAACCAGAACGTGGAACCGCCCATGCCAGCAGCCTTGTGAAAGATTAATTTGCCCGGGCACTACGCGGCGTCTGCCACCCAATGTTGCCACTGGGCAAGCAAACTAACATGTGGCACATCAATGACCTGGCCCATGGTGCACGCCTGCGCACGCTGCCAACATAGACGAGCGAATATCACTGAATGGTCCTCTTTGGGCGTTGTCTCTGCAGATTATTCACGATGGTCGTCCTGTTGAATTTGTTCTAACTTATTTCTTGGGTGTGCATGAGTACATGTATCGTGCGGAGGGTACGGCGAAACACAAGTGTGCGAAGAGCAAGGGCGAGCATGGGGGGAGGGAGGAGGGGGAGGAGAGGAAGGAGAGGAGAGGAGAGGAGAGGAGAGGAGAGGAGAGGAGAGGAGAGGAACTCGGGGCGCTGTTTGTTCAACGCGGGGACCTGACACCCCAAGATGGTTGGAACAAACTGATTGGCGACGATGGGCGGCTTGGACCATTCAGCTCGCATTCTGTCGTTTGCGGGTCTGGTACCAGGCACAATGGCAGCCTCAATGCATTTCAAAATGCCATTTTAGGGGTAAGACGAAATTCTTCTCATACTTAACGGAATTCTCCAATATGCAAATGGCCTGGTTGATACTGTACTATTTATGTTGAACTTCATTTTGGTCATATCTTGCGTACAACGCTGCGTACCGTGTAGCTGAACCCCACGGCAAAACCACACAACCTATATTTCGACCAATCATCGGCATCCTAACGCACAACACGTGGGATAATGGATTACATGCTAGCCGGCTTAAAATTACGGGGCGTATATCGTATGAGTTCATGGGCGGGCGCCCTTCTAGAATTTATGCAAATATTAACAGAAACAAATAATACAATACTGCACCACTTCACACAATTACAAACCACTGTATCTCGTGCGAGCGTGTCGGTGCCACCTGACGACGAACGACGGCTAGATCTGACGGTCCCAAATTTCAATATTGACCGAAACTTGCCACTATTCTGCGACGTCGCCATCGTCAGCCCGATCTCCCGGACAGGGAGCGTACGACCAGGGACGAACAGCGTCTCCTCTTTCCTCTCCTCCTCCTCCTCCTCCTCCTCCTCCTCTTCCTCCTCCTCCTCCTCTTCCTCCTTTGACGCTGCTTAGCACGAGTATGGCGTCACCTCTGTTTCACCGCGCCTTGGTTTTCAAGCGTGCCTTGCACCGGTGGTTCGTGCCCGATGCTGTTGCCCAGGAAAAAAAAACATGCACAAACTGAAATCGAAACAAATTCAACGTACCACAAAGTGCTGGGGACAGGATTGGCCTTTTTACAATGCTGGGGTGCTGAAAAATTTGGGCGATGGGGGAGCCAGAGCACTCGCCTTGTGATGGATCTCGCACGGGAACACACGAATATACTGAATGCCAGGATTCGCCACGGCGCGACTTCAACATCGGTAGTGTGCTTTTTCTGGATTTCTTTACTATCAACTGTGGCACGCGCGCGCAGTTTTCCGTGAGGAAGTTGATCTTCCCGACGTACAGCTCGAACCTACACCGCCGATTACTGATCTAGACATCGTGTTCTTCCTCCTCCTTCTCCTCTTCCTCCTCCTCCTATTCCTCCTCCGCCTTCTCCTCCTCTTGCTCCTCCTGCTCTGATACGGATTCACTCCTCCTCCTTCTCCTCTTCCTCCTCCGCCTCCTCCTCCTCTTGATCTGACGTGGCTTAGCCCAGCGCCCGGCCCATCGCTGAAAGCGAATTGGGCAATGTCACCTTGCTCGGCGCTGGCTTATGTGGAAATCGCGACGGGGGAGGGAAAAAAAGGTACGTAATCAAATACTGCACCACCTCACACAACTACATACCACCGCGGGTGGTCAACCAATGGTAGGCCCACTATGTTCACAGATGTTCACAGAGCGCTGAATAGGCGGAATGGTTCAGCGAAGCTGCTGGATGGGAAATGCGACCTACATGTATTGATCTCGCAGCGGGGATCCAACCACCAAATGTCCCAAATGGCGCCGTTGTATGCGGAGACACTTATCACGAGACTTGGCACCTCTGGGGGCACGGCGGAACGCGGCAACTCCAAGTAAAGCACGGAACCATTCATGCACAAGGCCCTTCAATGCAATATGGCTGTCTTTGTGTCGTACAACATCAAGTTTAGCGATAGCAATCGCTTTACCGCAATGTGTTGCCAGTCGACATTTGGATGTTGCTTGTTCGTGTAATGGACCCGATCAACACGGCCATGGTCGATTAGCGGACGGGTCACGAAGGATATTCCATACACGACACAAAGAAATTGTGGCGGCATGGCCAGATTTTCAAGAAGCGGGAAGCAGCGTGCCGGACAAACAATCGGAAACGTATGTTACCTCGCGCGAACGTACTGGTGCCACCTAACGACCAACGACATATAGATCCGGCGGTCTCAAATTTCAATGTTAATCGAGGCTTACCGCTATTCTGCGACGTAGCCGTCATCAGCCCGATCTCCCAGACAGGGCGGGCGCGACCAGGGACGCGTAACAAAGGTGGTACACTACTTGCACAGGCTGGTATCGAAACAAATTCAACATACCACGAAGTGCTGGAGACAGGATTAGGCTCTTTACAATGCTTGGGTTCTGCAGTATTCGGGCGAGGGGGGGAAGCCAGAGCATTCGTCTTGGGCCGGACCTTGCATGGGAACACGAGCGACCTTAGGATTGCAACATCGGTGGTGGGGTTTACTTGGGATTTCTTTGCAGTCAGCTGTTGCACGCGCAGATTTGCGTGACGAAGCTGATCCTTCCGAGGTGCAGCCGAACCTACACCACCGATTATTGATCTAGCGTTTGTGTAATCCCTCCTCCTCCTTCTCCTCCTCTTCCTCCTCATCCTCATCCTTCTTCTCCTCCTCCGCCTGCTTGTTCGTATTATTGAATCGCTTCGCTCATTCCGCCGGCCCATATTGCCTCGCCGCTGTCGATTGTCGGGGTGTTGTTGTCAATGCGGCGCGGTTGGGCGGCTGCCATTTTTTGGCGGCGGTGGGTGGCGGGTCAGAGGCCTCACGGATGTTGGTTGGGCTCTCGTGGTTGGCCTCTCAAGAGGCCTTTGGGAGGCAATTTTGAAGCCTCTTGGGGGCCGTGTTGGGGCCTCTTGGGGGCCATTTGGGGCTTCTTGGGGTGCCTCTTGGGGGCCCCTTGGGGCATCTTGGGGCCTCCTGGGGGTCTCTTGGGGCTGAAGGCTGGACTGTTCGGTTCCAGGTCCCATTCTTGGGCCCCCCTTGGGGCTGTTTTGGGACTCTCTTGGGCCGTCTTGGGCGCCTCTTGGGCTGTCTTGGGGCCATCTTGGGCCGTCTTGGAGCCCTCTTGGGCCCTCTTGGGCGCATCTTTGGGGCATGTTGGGCCATCTTGGGGCGATCTTGGGGGGCTCTAGGGCAGTCTTGGACGCTGTGAACCTCCGAACGTCGTCTATGCCAGAAATGCACGTTTTCCTAAGGAAATGCAGCGATTTTTGCTTGTTGGGGCCCTCTTGGAGGGCCTCTTGAGGCTCTCTTGTCTAGGGCCGTCTGGAGACCATCATGGGCGTCTTGGAGGAATCTTTCGGCGACTCGGGGCCCCTTAGACCGTCTTCTTGGAAATCGCAGGCAGATCTTTCGAGGACTCCAGGAGCTCTTGGACATTCTGGGCGCTCTCTTCAAGCCGCCTTGGGCGCCTTTTCGGCCGTCTGGGGGGCCTCCGGCATCTCTGACGGGCACTTGCCGGGACTTTGACGGGGTACACCCTGCGAAATGCTTAAGAAATCATGGGTTAAGAAATTCATAGTCTCAGAAATGGAATAAAACCCAGAACTTCTATCAAAATCTTGGGATTTATATTGAAAAGTTAAGAATAATCGAGACTCTGGACGAAAACTGAGGTTTTCTTAAGCATCGCCTAAGGTGTACTTGTCGCGTCGGGGCCCTCAGGGGCCGCCTCGCGCGAGGGCGAACTTGTCATATTGTTCACTTGTTACCGGAGATCTTAATCCAACCGGTGTCCCATGAGTGCGTCACCTGCAACCTTACACATGTACCTGACCTTTGCGAGCATAACTTGCTTTCCGGATCAATGCCCGGTCCTCCGAGTAACACTCTGAGTTTCAATGCCACCGCGTCGCCTACAAACAAGCCGCAGCTCTCTTGGCACACGACTTGCTCTGCGCTACGAGGGCGGAACGAACTCACTTCATCCTGTGCTTGCGGGGTGGGTCCTCGAGAGGGTGCGTGCGACAGTTCGCTCGAGAGCACTAACACACGACCGTGAAACAACGGGAGGGGATACCTCATCCGATTCTACCACGATGCCCGTCGACACTCACGCTCCATCAGTTCGCCTCCAAGTTTTTACCAAGTATAAAAAGCCAGCGCTCCTGGTTCATTCCCCCATTCGCATTGACACATCGATCGGGCCGCCACTGCAAAATATCCCCAAAATGCCCACCCGAACACTAGGGACCGTGTAGAAGCTCAAGGGGACCTTGGATCAGTCGACGCACCGATGAAACCGTTCAGGGGCCTCACCTCGCCTGCTTGGTGCAACCAGCTTGCCTCATTCACCCAGCCGGTGCAGATTAGTACGCGCGAGAATTGCGCCCCGATCAAAGAAGCGTCTGTTTGAAGCACTTCGGCAAGAAGCTATCGATCGACGGTCACGAACCCAGCCGTGCTATAAAACATCGCATCCTTTCCACAATATTGCACAAAAGAGCTCGTCCTGTCCGTTAAGACGCGCCGCTGTCCAGCAGCCGCAACGCCTGCAGAAACAGGCGTCTACTGGCAACACTGTGTGCAAACATTACTCTGGCCGCTGAGACACTCAACCAGTCGGTCGTACCCAACATCGTTTGATGCAATTTGCAGTCGAGGATTGACGCTGAAGTGGGTAACCTGAAGGAACTAGAACGTGAGGGCCACCATTTACGCAGACGCTCACGCACCCAAGCAACCAGGCACATGTGATGCGCAAACAATCATCAATAACATGGGCGCATGCGTGATCGCATGCGAATGTTGCATACACACGTAAACGCGACAATACGTACACACGCACTTGCCAAGCAAGCTCGAGTAGACACGGGACAACATGAAACAAATCAGCGTGAATGTAGCAAGCGGGGTAACTGCTGAACAGTGCAAGCTTTCCTGTAGTTCTACACACCCAAGTTCGAGGAACGCATACAAGCAACCGCCCGACCAAACACAGGCTAGCAACGTACACATGCATGCGCAAACTTTACTAGCAATTCACATGTAGGTAAACGTAATTCAAGATCGCTCCAGCCTCATGAAGGCATTGTCTGGCGGTGGTAACGTCGCCAAAGTCCTGGTTGACACAACGCGTGCTGTACTCTCTGGCACACGCAGAGTGTGCTGCATACTAGCCTGCCCCACCTGTTACCTTCATGTCTGCAGGACAATCTTCTTCATTTACTTCAACGACAAAGCACGACCGATGTGTCGAGGACTGAGGAACGTGAACCTCCATAATATCATGACATGCGCAGCGAGACGTATCGCATACATTTGCTGATGTGCATCTCTATCAACTCTCGTACTTCGGATGCTGCCTGAAACTAACGCCCTGCATGAACCAAAGCATGCCAAGTAACGTGTGTCGCCACAGCTAGATGAGCGTAAAGCAACCATATGCGACGGCGCGCTCCAGAGCAGACGCTGCATACTCAGCCTGCTTCCTGCGGGCTGGCAGGTCGAACAACGCCAGCAGGATGGTTGAAGATAGTGGCAACATCCCAAGGTTCGTGCAATGATCAACAAGTGCATCGCTTGAGTAAAATTGGGCACGATAACGTCCGAACAACTTCCCAATGCAAGAGTCGAGAGCAAGATTAGGCCACAGGCTAAAGCTAGGAGTCAGGAAAACACATCAACTAGTAACTCATGTATGTATTATGCAAGAACTTTCCATTGCCCAGGCGGGCAAACGCCTAAATCACGAATGGGCAGTGGGAAACACACCGTCAGGCAACGCATTTACTGCTTGCGAGCGATTAGAGCCGACCGAACTGCACATGTCAATGTCTTGGGATTGCCACGACGCCAATCGATATGAGCGTACATGCAATTTCGCAACGACTTTGTTGAGCATGTGATCCAGCATGCAGCGGATACGCCCAGACATCAAGCGCGCTGCGCATGCAGAGGGGATGGCGCAGGCCATGGGCGCACGCCATGGGGAGCGAACCGTGGACACCGACGCATCAACAGCAAACAGGGCACCGCATCAGAAGAGAGACGCAGGCTGAATGCCATGGGGCTTCCCGGGCCTGGCCCCAGCCAGGCCGTCGCCACTGCCTGGAAGCCTCCGGGCGCGTGGGCTGCGCGAGCAGATCTGCACTCCTCTCGTGCTCGGGCTGCCGCGCTCCTCTGCCCCGCTCACGGACAGGTGGCCCCTCCGGTGTTTCCTCGTGCCTCCAGGAACCCAACCGTACAGGCGCGACGCGGCGGCCAGAAGGCCTCGCAATCCCTATCCACACCCTCAGGTCTACCACTGCGTCCAGAAGATCAGCGAATCGGGTGGGTCGTACAGTGAGCTACGTAAGACGCAATGTGGTGGAGAGACACTTCGAGGATCTGCGCGTTGCTGGCAGACAGTCAACTCCGCGCGTGCCAACGTCAAACATGTTTCTGTGCGAGTGGCGCATGCCTTCCGTCTACCTGTTGTCCGTTTCGCTGCTCCTCAGAACCGTGCCTCCTTCCCTTTCCTCCCGACCAGCCGCTCTCGGGGATGGACAGACCTCCCTTTAGTATAACGTGGTTTAGTGAAAGCGACCTCGGGCCCAAACCTGGCGGGCGCAAGCCTGGAAAATGACGGCCGCGGCGCCCTCGCGAGGACCGAAAACGGACAATTCACGAATCGACGTGTCAGGGTAGGAGGTCTGTCCACCCCCGACCCTCGGGGACGAGGAGGAGGAGGAGGAGGAGGAGGACGAGGAGGAGGAGGGGGAGGAGGAGGAGGAGGAGGGGGAGGAGGAGTCGGCCAGGGCCACGTCGCGAACCGCGCACGGCCGCCCAGCAGCGTCCAGCCCTCGGGCCCGCCCGGAGGGGCTTGGGCGGAGAGCCGGCGTGGGGCCCTCCCTCCCCCTCCCTCCCTCCCTCCCTCCCACCCCCTCCCTCCCTTCCTCCCTCCCTCCCTCCCTCTCTCTACAATTACACAATATGAAAATACTCTCCCACTTCCCCTGATGGCGTCCCGAAAATATCCGACCCCCCCCATCTTTTTACACACAGGATTCCCGTGAAACGGGTTTTCGCTTGTGTTTTTTTCCCCAAATGCTGCTCTCGCTGAGGCGCCGGCCTCATTTCTGCTCCCGAAGCGTTCCGAATCGTGTTCCCGCTGCAGCGTGGGCCTCATTTTCGGATCGGTGTTTGGCCTCCGTCGTTCAGGATGGCGTTCTCGCCCCAGCGCGGGCCTCTTTCTCGCGCGCCCATCCGCCCGCCGCCACCGCGCCGCACCACCACCACCACCACCACCAGCACCAGCACCAGCACCAGCACCAGCACCAGCACCAGCACCAGCACCAGCACCAGCACCAGCACCAGCACCAGCACCAGCACCAGCACCAGCACCACCACACGCACGCACGCACGCACGCACGCACGCACGCACGCACGCACGCACGCACGCACGCACGCACGCGCACCACCACCCACTACGCACGCGCGCGCGGAGCCACAAGTCCGCTACGACACGCGTCCGCGGATAGAGAAAATCAGCGCCATGGTAAGGGATGGGAGGGAGGGGTAGGACGTCAGATATGACGCGAGCGCACCTAGCTTGTCCCCCCCCCTCCCCCTCCCCCCCCCTCCATCCCCCCCCCCCGCAGGGGCCACGAGGCCCCCTCCCCACACGCCTCTGCCCGGAGCGCCCACGTGTCGCCGACGGCAGCGCCGAAGGCGCCCCTCCCGGTGGGTGCGCGCACGGGGGGCCGGCGCAGACGGAGGAGACGCCCCGCGGGCACCCAGGGCCTGCGCGCGGCGCGCTCGTGCGGCCTCCTGCGCCGGGGGGCGCCCGGCGGCTGGCCGCTCGGAGCGGAGGGGGGGGGGGGCCGACGCCGCTGCCGGGCGCGTGCTGGCCAGGACCCCGGGGCGAATCCTGCAGGGCAGGGGAGGGTGCAAACAGAACGACTTTCGGGACTTGGAGCCCTTCTGCCGATGGCGTTTCTCTTCTTCGAGGCGCTGGCCATCGCTCGGACGTGCATTCCCTGTGTTCTTTTCGGTTTAGTGCGTGGTTTTTTCGCCAAATGATCAAGGATGCTCCTCGATGGTCCTCGCCGAAGAAAAATGCACATGTCCGAGCGATCCCAAGGGCGAGGGGAGGCCCCAGGAGCAGATCCGACGGAGCGCGCCACCGAGTCCGAGGCTGCCTGGGGCCAGCAGGCGGCTGCGCCGCCGGGCGCGGCACCTCCACAACCCCTCGACGGCGACGACGACGACCAACGACGACGACCAACGATGACGAACGACGAACGACGAACGACGAACGACGAACATCGAACAACGAACGACGACCGATGGACGACGAACCGACGACGACGACGGCGACGACGACGGCGGACGACGACGACGACGATGATGACGGCCCCTCGACGGGGACGACAACGACGACGACGGCGACCTCTCGACGGCGACGACGACGCCGACAACGACGAGGACGAGACGGCGGCGGCAGCAACGACAACGACAACGGCGAGCCCTCGACGGCGACGACGACGACGATGATCCCTCGAAGGCGATGACGGCGACTGCGACGGCGACGGCGACAGCGAAGGCGACGACGACGACGACGGCGACGACTGCCCCTTGTCGGCAACGGGCGTCGGCCGTCGCGCGCTGGCCCCTGCCTACTGGATTGTCGGCAATCTCGCCCTTCACCAAAGGTCCAAACATACGGTCATGTGGGAAGCCCTGACTCCAGATCCGCCGTACTTCGGCTGCTTGTCCGACTTGCAACTGCTCCGGAAGTGCATCCCAAGCGATGGAAAAGAAACAGGGCGGACATTTCCGCCGCAGAAGCGTCGCGCGGATACTTCAGCGACAGAACGGCGGAAACAACGACATCAAAATATGGCCGACGTCGGCATCAAAGGAGGTTGAACAATGCGACGGGAACTTCCGCCCTGCTTGCGACCAGGGGCGAATTCGAAATCAGGGATTATGTTGCCCAGAAATAATTTCGAACACCCGGAAAAATTTCAAAAGAGTGTCGAATCAGTGTCGGGCGAGTGTCTCCCCAGGGCCCGACACGCGAAAACCCTTGCGTTTCGGTGCTCTGTTGGGCGCTCGAGATTCTTCCTGGTGATCAGGGCTGCAACAGGTTGGAGCATCACAAGTCAGGGAGAATGGGCCACCAACTTCTGTAGGGAACCCACAAAAGACGTACGCGCCCAGCTATGTACATGAACACGGCCCCTCGATTCGCGAGACCGGCCGCGTTATACGAACATTTGTGCAATGCGTGCTCTCGAAACCAGCGTGGATTCATGTACATGTACGTCCTTCTTTCGCTCCTGATTCTGGACGCACCTCCCGTCGGCTGAGCGCCAGAAAGGCCCCTGGGCACGGGCCACCTCTGGTGCGCGGCTTGCCGATCGCTGCGTGCGGCGCGGCAGTGGTACACCCTGCGAAATGCTTAAGAAATCATGGGTTAAGAAATTCATAGTCTCAGGATTTGAATAAAAAAACCCAAAAATCCGATTCAAAGTTTAGGCTTTACATCGAAACAGTAAGAAAAGGCGAGACTCTGGCCGAAACCTTACGTTTTCTTAAGCATCGCCCAAGGTGTAGCGGCCTGCGTGCCTGGGCTCTGCCCTCCCCTGACCCTCCCTCCGCGTGGCCCGGAAACCACGCACCGAAGGCCACTCTGGCGAAGGCTTGCTCTTATGCGTACACCCTGCGAAATGCTTAAGAAATCATGGGTTAAGAAATTCATAGTCTCAGAGCTTGAATGAAAACCCAACATTTCTATTAAAATCTTAAGATTTACATTGAAACGTTAAGAATAATCGAGACTCTGGCCGAAAACTTGGGTTTTCTTAAGCATCGCCTAAGGTGTAGCCGAGGCCGGATGATGGGGGCGACGAGCTCTTCAGCACGCCTGCTAGACGAATAGGCCCCGGGGATGATCAAGGGAGGCCCTCGCGTGGTCCAAAGTAGCCAAAGGCGGCCTCCGTGACTGTCTACGACGGATCGGAATGGCACGAGGAAGGAACCCGAACACGCTTTCGTCAGCGAGCCTGGCGTTCTCGCCTCCGCTCCTATACACGCGCCCCCGAAGCCTGAGGACTGTCCCACGGCCTTGGAGGCCACCAGCTACTTTGTACGTCGCAGCGCGGCAGAGGCAGTCCGCACGCGCGCTCGAGCGGGCCGGGAGACGGCAGGCGCTGATTGACCGGCAGGGCACCCGCTACACGCCTACACCGAACCTGGGCAGGCTCGTCCTGGGCCCAGGATCGGTGTATGCGCCCTCCAGGGCAGAGCGCACATACACACACACACTCTCACACACACAACACACACACACATACAGACACGCACACACTCAAACACACACACACACACGCAGACACACACAGACACACACACACACATACATCACACACACCATACACACCACACAAACACACCGCACACCGCACACCGCACACCGCACACAACACACCACACAAACACCACACACCACACACACAACACACACAACACACACACACACTCACCACACACGCACACCACACACACCACACACACACCATACACACATCACACACATACCACACACCACACACCACACGCAACACACAATACACAACACACATATAACAACAACATACAACGCACAACACACAACACACACACGCCACACACAACGCACACACCACACACTCACACACCACACACACACAACACACACACACCACACACAACACACAACGCACAGCACACAACACACACACAACACACAACACACAACACACACAACACACAACACACACACACACTACACGCACACACGCACCCCCGCCTTAGACACACCGATCCAAGATCGGTGTAGATGTATACAGTCGGACCGGGGTATAAGATCGAGGCTTGCTCGGGGAGGGTACCCTAATGTTCTTCATGTTTGTTGGATGCTCCTGTGCATCCAGGGGAGGGAACCCTTGGACGTTCTGTGTGTTTTGGCTGGCGGAGGGCCTCATGTTCTTGAAAGATGTTATTATGTCCCAGGCCCGACTGTAGCTGGCGCCTCCCGAAGATGGCCCAGCAGAGAAGACCCAGGGAAGCCCGATGAGCCGACCAGTAGGGACTGGCTCAAGGGGGAACCGTGACCAGGCGGGGAGGAGGAGGAGGAGGAGGAGGAGGAGGAGGAGAAGGAGAAGGAGGAGGAGGAGGAGGAGGAGGAGGAGGAGGAGGGGGAGGAGAAGGAGGTGGAAGAGGAGGAGGAGGAGGAGGAGGAGGAGGAGGAGGAGGAGGAGGAGGAGGAGGAGAGGAGGAGGAGGAGGAGGAGGAGGAGGAGGAGGAGGGTGCCTGCATGTGCCTGCGAGCCGAGAGGGCACCAGAGAAGCACGACAAGCCGAGAGGACAGACCAAGCGAGCGCCAAGAGGTGCCCAACATGGCTTCACGGTGGGCCCCGGCCGCCCCACGGTGGGCCCCAGTGTGGCCCCCGAGAGTGCGCAGGAGGGCCCCCGAGCTTCTCTGCGAATGCTCGGGGGCCCGCGCGTCGAGTCCACAGTCCGGGGTGCCTCAGGCGGGGCAGGGCTGCGCCGCCTCGCGGCCGCCTCGCCGCCGGGGATGGCGCTCGGAGGTTGGGCCCGAGCGCTGGGCTTGGAGCCAACCGGCCAGACTGTCGGAGCCATCCCTTCCAACAACGTCGTCCCCTCGCTGCTTGCCTCTCCCCTCTGCGCATCTTCTCCTTCCCTCCTCCCTCTCCTCCCCTCCTCCCTCCCCTCCCCTCCCCTCCACTCCCTTCCCTCCCTCCTCCCCTCCCCTCTCCTCCCCCTCCCTCCCTCCCTCCCTCCCTCATCCCCCTCTCCTGGGCGCGCTGGCGTGGCCCCTGGAACGGCCGCCGAGGACCGCGTGCTCACGCCGAGAAACAGGCAACACGTGCGAGGAAGCACGCGCGGCTGGATTGACATGGGGCACCTGATGAAAAGGCAACGCACGTTCAGACAGATAGGGAGATAGAGAGATAGGGAGGGGGAATGGGGATGGGCAAGGCGACAGCGGCAAAGGCGCTATAGGTATGGGTGCGAGCTGTCCGACCCCGAGAGGCACGCGCTGGATGCGCATGCGGACGGCCCGCGGGCACTGGCCGTGCGAGGGCGGGGCGGAGCGCTGTGGAGAGACGGCCGGTCGCACGTGTGCCCAGCTCTCGCGCAGGCTGCTCATGTCCTGTGCATGCAACCTCCTGCTTTGAAGGGGCCCACAAACACACAAATAAATACACACAAATAAAAATATTCCCCATATTTTCTCATATTTTCTGAGTTTTTGTCTTCCCCACCACTTCCCATATTTTCCCATATTTTGGGGATCGACGATTAATTGTGTCTGTGTGTTTCTTCCCCTCCTGATGCTTGTCCTTCGTGCGTGCGAAGCTTGTTTGCTGGCACTGCGAGCGCGGATCGGATGCGGACGAGCTGGTCCTTGCGCAGATGCGGTTGGAAATGGGCTGCCACTGGCTCCTCTGGACGAGACCGTCGCGCAGTCTGTCGCGAAGATTTCGGATTCGATGCGCGTGCGCATCCCGTCGTTACGGCTCAGTTTCACCACCACTCCATCGTGTGCATCCCTCCCTCCACCACCCCCACGCGCACACCGACGCATCCATCGCCGCACGCCACCACGAAATCATGGCTGCGTCCCCAAATTCCACCCGAATCCAGATCCAGGCTAGCCGCTTCCGGCCGCCCAGCGCACTGCTAGCCCGCTGCCGCGCCCCTCGCTGCTCGCTTCCACTACGGGGACGACGCCAGATACGACATGACGGCGCTCATGCCGACAGCGACAACGTTGCTGAACAGCACCTGTAACTGGACAGGCACCACTAAGAAGTTCATGAACTGCGTGATGGGCAGCACCAGCCAGTTCGCGCAGCTTGCCTTCAGCCAGAGCTCCAGTGGAGGAGGCATCAAAGCCACCGGAGACGCCGAGGTGGACCGAACGCAGGACAGGAAGACAAAGAGGAACGCCGGCGAGAAGACCAGCTGGTCCAGAATCGTCCTCCGCAGTGCGCCGCGCAGGCCACGCTGGGCGACGGCCGTGCTGAGCCAACCGTACCTCGGAGCAGGGCGAATTGAGACAACGCCAGTTCAAAATCGGTCCCCGGATCTGCCAGGGTCCAGGCGCACCAGCTTTCCGAGCTGCGTCCAGCCGCGGCGAGGAGGGCCTCCCCCAGAGGCCAACTGCCGTTGTCTCAACTCGCCCTCCTCGGAGTACCACACGTGGAACGCGGGGCCCACCAGGATCCCGTTCACCGCTGCGAACCGGCAGAGGCGAGCCGCGTCGATGGCCTGCGCGGCGCCCTGGCCGCCCAGCAGCTGCGCCAGCAGGTCGCCCAGCGCCGCCAGCGCGGCGGAGGTGGCCCCCTTCGTGAGCACGGGGGAGCTGCGCAGGGCGGCCAGGTAGAGCCCCCAGGGCGTCGCGGCGGCCGGCGCGGCGGCGCCGCCGCCGCCGCCGCCGCAGCGGCGCCGAGCGGCAGTGCCGCAGGCCACGCGGGCGCAGGCCACGAGCGCCGCCGCCCGCGCGCCCAGCCGCCAGCCGTCGCTCCAGGCGCGAGGAGGGCGCCGCGGACGTGGCCCGCCTCGCCCAGCCGCTGCTCGCCGTCGGGGCGGCGGCGGCCTCTGCGAGGCGTGCGCGGGCGCCGACGTGGCCGCGCCGCCGAGGCTCAGCGCTCGCCCTCTGGCCGCGGCCCCCGCGAGCATGGGCCAGGCCGCCTCCCCTCTAGCGCCGCCGCGCCTGCATCCGCCGATGATCCTCAGAATGTGCGTCAGCGCCAGCGGCGATACGACGCAGGCGGCGTACACAGTGGCCGACACAGGAGCTGAACGGGGCAAACACGGTAGGTTCGTGCGGCGTCGGCGCGCGCAAAAAATTTTGACACCGCGTCGATCGTTCGACTTTGAATCGATCGCGGCCCCGATCGTTCCAGGTTGAATTCCGCCAGGTCCAATGGCGTTACCGTGTCCCTCGTCCGCTCTGCGTCGCAGAATCAAACCTTGAACGCCTTCGCAGGCATCGCCGGCGTGCCGACGTCGCATGTACCTACCGTTATGTCAGGCCTGTCCCCCAGACTATTTTTGAGTATTTTTTGACCTCTTTGGGGTGTTTTTTTTTTATTTTTATTTTTCGTTGAAAATCCCCCTGTAGGGGGATATGCCCGACTTAAACCTACTGCACATATTGGGCAAAAGCACGTCCCGAGGATCACTCGATAAAATGAGACGATGTTTTCAACGTGGCAATGGCCCCGGAGGAGTTCAGCTAACCTCGGTCTGGCCTCGTCGCTCTAGCGCTCTGGGCCAAAACGCCTACAGTGAAGTGTGCGCACGCCCCTGCCGTTACGACGGATTCTGCAAATTTGGTAGTCGGGCTTCTGTCGCCCAAGGGCTATAGGGCTATAAACCTCCACCGACCCCAACCAACCTCCATCGAACCCACGTCCTGAGGATCCTCGATAGGGCGACGAGATCTATGCATATCCACTGCTCCTGGCCAGGCCAATCCTGGGCCCAGGAGCGGTGTATACGCCCTCCTGGCCTGGCCAGGGAGGCATATACACAGCTCCTGGGCCCAGGATGGGTCTGGCCAGGAGCAGTGGATATGTATAGATCTCGTCGCCCTACTCGAGCCCACGTCGGCCAGGGTGCCTCCGCGCCTGCAGGGCGCGCGCCCGGCCTCCTGCCGCTCCCGCGCCGCTCCCGGCCGCGCGCCGGGAGCCGCTCGAGCCCGTGGGTATGGATGCCCGCAGCGGAGGGAGCGGGGGGAGGAGGGGAGAGGGGGAAAGGGAGGAGGAGGAGGAGGAGAAGGAGGAGGAGGAGGAGGAGGAGGAGGAGGAGGAGAAGGAGGAGGAGGAGGAGGCGGCACGGCTCATCTTTGCACCACCGACCTTCAAGGGGCACAAGGACGCACAAATAGATACACACAGATAAAAGGATTCCCCACATTTTCTCATCCTTTCTGGGTTTTTGTCTTCCCGCCCAATTGCATATTTCCCCATATTTTCCTGGGGATCGACGAATAATTGTATTGTGTCTGTGTGGTTTTTTTCCCTCCTGATACCTAGAGGCCCACACTTGCGGCCAGGAGTTTTTGCTCAGCGTGTCGCAGCGGCGGCCCTTGCGACACGCTGTGCCCTGCAAGCGGACAGCGTGTCGCTGCGCGCCGCGGGGCGGGAGGCGGGGAAAGGCTCCGGAAGTTGACGTTCGCGGACCCGGGCGCGGTTGGCGTGTCGCGCCGCAGCGTGGTAGGCCAGAACCGGCGGCGAGGCACGCTGGGCAAAAGATCCTAGCCGTATTGGTTTCCGTGCACCGAGGCATGCTGTGCCGCTGCATGGCGCACCACAGTCCGACGGCGGCACGCTTCTCTCTGCATCGCCCAGGCGCGCACGTAATCGGGCCCGAACGTGACCACCTTCTGCGCCCCACGCTTTCCGCAGCGAGATCGGGACACGACAAAGGGGGCCCAACCCCACCAAAGCACGTGTATGCCCAACGTGGCCAGGCTGCCTCGATAACGCGCCCCCTCACTTCTGCCTCCCCCCTGGTTGGTTGGAGATCATTCTAATACCAGGTAGCCGCATTAAGCAACAACGGATTTTCAAACTGTGTTGTTTGAATGTGATAAAATCTGCGGGAGGTTTTCACATTGCTGCGAAGAAGCAGCAGCTTGCAAATTGGCACAAACATAGTCAAGCATTTTTTTGTTATATATATATATAAATGTCTGGGTTTACACAACAAACAACATCCAGAAACACATGATCCTGGACCTCAGGGGACGGTCGGTGGCGACCCCTTGAAGTCCAGGATCTTTTTTTGCTTCCCCTCCAATTTTTCCAATTGTTCAATTTGACGCAAAGGGACCCAGTTTGCAATCCACCACAAAAAGAAACCTTTTGTAATCCGCCACAGCAGAAGCCAATTTGAAATTCGCCACAAAGGTAATCAACTTGTAATCCGCCAAAAAGGAAATCAATTAGTAACCCGTCACAGAGGAAAGCCATTTGTTATCCGCCCAAAAAGGGTCATTTTGTGCCACTTTGAAAAATGGGAACAATTACGAAACATTAAAACATTACAACATAGAAAATCCTGGACCTCAGGGGACGGTCGGTGGCGAGTCTCTCAGGTCCTGGGTCATTTTTGTATAATTTTTGAAACTTTCGCAGATTCATAAAAAACTCTCACATTGACGCACCATAAAAAAACAACAACAACTGGTAGTCCGCCACATATGGAATCAATTGGTATTCCGCCACAAAAAAAAACAACTTTTAACTCGCCACAGAGGGGGTCAATGTGTGGCAATATGAAGAATCATACAAATTGCAACACATGCAGAACTTGCAAAACAAAATACACATGATCCTGGACATCAGAGGACGATCGGTGGCGAATCGTCTGGGGATTTTTTTGTTTTTTTGCAATTTTTGCGAAAATTTAAACTGACACAAAAAGGAATCATGTCGTAATCCGCCACATGAGGAATCTTATTGTTATCCGCCACAAAAGGAATCAACTTGAAGTTCGCAACAACGGGAATCAATGTGTAATCCGCCACAAAGGAAATCAACTTGTAACCTGCCACAAAAAGGAATCAACTTGTAATCCGCCACAGAAGGGGTCACTCTGTATCAGTTTGCCCAAAAACTGATCCAGGACCTCAGGGGACGGTCGGTGGCAACCCTTGAAGTCCATTACCATTTTTGGGTAAATTTGGCAAGGGGGGAATCAATTCGTAATCCGCCACACAACAAATCATATTGTAACCCCCGATCCTTTTGTAATCCGTCATAAGGGTCCTTTTTGTGGTTCAATATGAAAGTGCGCACCGCATTCCCGCAAAGGCTTTTTCACTTGCACATTCCCATGGACCGCGAGCACGTTTCAAGATTGCAAGCGCCCACCGCCGCCCTGCGAGGGCTTCTTGAGGACTCTTGGCGTCTGTCAAGTCGTGAGTTTGAAAGAAACTTGAAAACAGGAGGTCATGTTGTTAGTCTGATGCATGTGTAGCAAGATGTGACAAGACACTGCCAGCAATTGTAATTCCCGCCACATTCAAAGAATTCCAGCAATCCAACAACAAGTGTGCTGGAAACCCAGGGGATGATTGGCGAGGCGACGTGCCAAAAAACAGGCGCCAATTGTATTTGCATTTCGTCTGTCTTCAAACATCGGTAGAACTCCTCGCCGATCGCCTCCTGGTACGCGGGGCGCCTGCATACCACACCATACCATACCATACCTACCATACAATACCATACCATACCTACCATACCATAACATACCTACCGTACCATACCCTCCAGGGAAGCCCCGCCTGAACGAGGATGGTATCGGAAATCCATACTATTTACCTAGTTTCGTGCCCCTCCCACCCCTCCAGGGATGCCCCGCCTGAGCGAGGAAGGTATCGGAAACCCATACTATTTACATGGTTTCGTGCCCCTCCCACCCCTCCAGGGGGGCCCCGTCTGAGCGAGGAGGGTGTCGGACACCCATACTATTTACATGGTTTCGTGCCCTTTCCCGCCTCTCCAAGGAGGCCCCGCCTGAGCGAGGAGGGTCTCGGAAACCCATACTATTTACATGGTGTCGTGCCCCTCCCACCCATCCAGGGAGGCCCCGCCTGAGCAAGGATGGTATAGGAAAACCATACTATTTACATGGTTTCGTGCCCCTGCCACCCCCCAGGGAAGCCCCGCCTGAGCGAGGAGGGTCTCGGACACCCATACTATCTACATGGTTTCGTGCAATTCCCACCTTTCCAGGGAAGCCCCGCCTGAGCGAGGACGGTATGGGAAACCTATACTATTTACATGGTTTCGTGCCCTTCCCACCTCTCCAGGGAGGCCCCACCTGAGCGAGGAGGGTATAGGAAAACCATACTATTTACATGGTTTCGTGCCCCTCCCACCACTCCAAGGAAACCCCGTCTGAGCGAGGAGGGTATCGGAAACCCATACTACCACCCTCTGGATAAAAAATTGTGACCGGCACTTTGCGAGAGAGCGATCCCCGCGGGTTTCGCCGGTCGACTGGCCCTCGAGCCTCCACCATCGATCAACCCCGAGATGACTCCAAGGCAGGCCCGTGAACCGAATGACGGAACGGCTCCGCAGGGCGTGGAGCTCTGCAGCACAAAGTTATGGAAATCATCGCACACGAAATCTTTGTCTTCTGGCGGCATGGAAGGCAACCTGAAAGTGCTGTTTGAGGTCTTAAGCGAAACGACCACTCTCAGGCGGCATGAACATCGATCTGAAACTTTTTTGTGAGGAAGTCCTAGGCGAAATCGCCACTTTCAGACGGCATGGGGGAATTACAAATCGCCCTGGAAGGGGATTTGAATTTTTTTTTTGAGGAAGTCCTAGGCGGAATGCCACTTTCAGACGCCGGCCCCATTTGGCCTTTATAATATTAAAGGGGGTGAGGTATGCGTCTGAAACTCCCAATTCGGCATCAAATCTAACATTGTCCTGGGCCCCATGGCCGAACGGGTGGCCAACAGCGTCTCTCTCTCTCTCTCTCTCGAACCCCGCCGCCCCAACTTTTTAATCCAGCGGGTTGTATTTACATGGTTTCGCGCCCCTCCCACCCCTCCAGGGAGGCCCCGCCTGAGCGAGGAGGGTATCGGACACCCATACTATTTACATGTCTTCGTGCCCCTCCCACCCCT